TTGCACAATCTCTATGTTACACATGGGAACGACATTATAGGGTTGACGGGGTGGGCGAATGCCGGACGTTACGTTTGAATTTCAATTTGCACCCCGGTAATAGCTTTGCGGTTCCCCGGATACAATAAACCTTAAGTCTAATCTTAAGTTGCACAAACAACACCTCGCGTTTACATGACAACAAGAAATTCCTAATAACAGGTCGACGACCCCAATATTATATTGGTTGGTCGTGGTAACAAACGTTAGTCCGTTTTCCCATATCCTGTTGATACAGCCACGCCGAAGGTCACAAGGGAATAAAAAAAATTGTATGTGTTTTTTTTTCTAGACACAATCGCCAAGGCTATCAGGCAACATCAAACACGACTAGATGAACATCCTAATACAAAAATTTAAAATGTCTCAAAACCAACACGTTTTGAACGTTTACTGACAAAAGACTTCGAGGACTTTCGTTATTATGTTTATTTTGTGCACCAATTTGATACACTCCTCTGTTGGAACCAAATTTAATGAAAAAACTGTCGAGTAAAAACATTTAAATGATAAAAAGACCAACCGAGATCGGGCGTTACGTTATGTCTGACCTCATCTAATTAAATTCTCGGTTTTGTTAACAACTATTAACCCTCGTAGTTCTGTAGAAAAACATACAAGAGTAATAACGATCTAAGCCCGAAGTTTTATTTCTATTCGTTTTCGTAATAGATTTTCACTTAGATCGAAATGTAACTGACAGCTGTATAAAACGTTATTACTAACGTATGTAGTACTTGATTTAAGTTATAGATCAGTCAGTCAACTGTTAGCTGATGTGGTCCAACAGATAATGTAGGAAACAGTCATTGGTCTCACGGTCTGATTAAGAAAAAAATAACACTTTAAAAAAAGTGTTATAAAATTCTAAAATTATTAAAAAACATATTATTAGGCGTTTTTATAAAAAATAATTTGAAGTATCTATACTTTTAGCTTCAATGCGATAGCTAAGAAGGTATTGTATTTATAATAATGTGTTTTTATTTTTTTGTTTTTATATTTTTGTGTCTGTACCCACAATATCTTTTAAGCCAATGGACAGATTTCTTCGTGTAGCAGCTCTTAAGGTCAGAAATCGTACCTGTAATGTACATTATTAGACCAACAATTAAAAAAGTTCATCCCTTCCCCTTCAAAATCGAGAAAAACTCCCAAAAAATGTACATATTTTTTAACTTAAAATTTCGGCGCTTCATATCTTTTTTCAAAATAGTCCAATTAGTTCCAAATGTTTATAGAATATTCTTAAGACATAGTACTACTAACAAACGTTGACAACCTAAACAATTATTGTACACCCTTTCTCCTAGAAGGGGTGGAATATTTTTATTTATTTCGCTTTTTCATGCAAAGTTTAAGGGGTTTATGTATGAAAATTAGACCAAAGGTAGATCTAGAATAGGACTATAACATATTATACAATTTCCTCAAAAATCTGTAGTCATTTTTTTATAAAGGAAAAACCAAAAAATAGTGGAAAATTACACTTTGACCGTAGTCAGTTTTTAGGTTGCTATGTGTGGTTAATGCATACTACCCACAGATTCGCATGGAAGCGTTTATTTAAAAGTGATTTTATCATGAAGCGTTTAAGGCGTTTAACACATGTTTATAAAATGAATGTAGGAAGCGCCCAGTGTACAATTTAAGTTTGCATTAATATATTTTTTATTATGCACATTAGCAAATACTGCATTATTATAATATTATGTATATAATACATAATATTATAATGATAAAACACCGTGTTACTCGTGGATAAAGCTAACTAATTCATTAATAAAATATTAAGTACATTCTATGGTCACTGAAATTTTACACATAAGCGTGTTAAGTATAATTAATTTTACCTCTCCAGTTTTGTAGAATTGAACATTTACCGGAAGTCTCGTAAACGGCGGAGTCGTTATTTTAATTTATTATAAAACTTTTAATTTTAAGTTTTGCCATAAATTATTAAACTAAATGATTACTCGATAAATCAGTACATAAAAAAATTAACAAAACGATACTTGTTTTAATTGGTACGATGTGTTTATTATAATTTTTCGTTCGAATAAATAAATTAAGAAAAAAAACGGTCAGTTGCCATAATAAGTTGATTTTATAGAAACAATTGTAAGAAATCGTATAGTACCGTTTTTACTTTGGACTATGAGCACACATGTAGGGTGAATACCTCACGTATGGTCACCCATAGCATTTTGCTTGTACAAATATTATTATATTTATACTACTTACAATTATTAAAAATATTTGAATGTAACGCCTTATAATATACTATATACATAGCACAGTTTTCGATTTTTAAGTTGTTTTACGTTACCTATATAAAATTACAATTGAATAAAAATAATTTTAAAATGCATTTTCTTCGTCTAAGACTACATCATTTTAGTAATATGTATTAAAAAGTTTTTGGGGTAAAAAGCACACATAGATTTTAGTAATATGCTATCAAATTAGATCAATGGTACAATCTTTTTTTTCCGAGAACATTTTTTATAAAAAAAAAATGACCAGAGAATAGTTATTGTTATTTGTATTAACAAACAAGCTATTAAAAATTAGAACCTAACCAGATAGGTGTATTATACATTTATAACACTAAAATGTAATAATAATTAGTAAATGAACTCAGTAAACGTTGTCAATTTCCAAATTTGTTTCATTATCAGTAGGATCACGTCAGCCAGTGAAAACCGCTGTATTGTTTGGAATTATTTAGCTGGTAGTTAGTGCTGACGTGAACGTTGTAAAAACGGTTCATGCTGAACTCGCTGTTAAAGTCCGCGCCACACTAAAGTTAGCTTAACTGACAGCTAAATCAAATTTAGCGTGACATTGCAATAACGACCCTAAGTCACCGTTCATCCCGTTAAATAATAGGTCTGCCGCGAAACGACAATGGTCCGATACGATTTTCCGGTCACGGATGTACGCCAATGCGTGTACCTACTTAGAAAAATAACCATCCGGTGAACTAGATTGGTGACAAAGTTTTTCAAAATGTGTTTTTGTGTATAATATATAGAAATATACGGACACACGTGGACGGTCCGAAGTGGCTACCGAGCGAGCGGGGAGGAAAGGACAAAGACAGCAAAAATGATTAAGGTCAAAACTACTTGGCCAGTTTTATTGGGTCGCGGTCCCTTGAGACGGCTCCGACAGCTTGATTTCCAGCCCGTTACTTTGTCACTCTTTACTCTATATATAATATACCGTGCACGTACATATTCGGTCTCCTCTATCAGCTTTAACAATAACTTTCCATAACATCCGCTCGATTTCCATAGAAAACGTCAGCTTGCCGGGTTTTAGGGATTTGTTTGTAGTAAAAACAATCGGTCTACATGCCGGTCTCTATAGCTAAGCACAAAAATATCAATCACACATTATGTTTTACTCGTTTTATCAATAGAAATTTCTCTCCTCGGTGTCCTTCGTAGTATATTCAAAGGTCAATCACGAGTTGAGTGCAACTAAGACTTCGGTTTCGAGAACCATACTAACGTGAGGCATCCGAAATAAGTACACGACCGTTACCAAAACTTCTTAGGAACTATCAAAGTGTATTGCACAAAAATATGAACGAAATTAATATGTGAATTTAACACAAACTAAGTAAAATGACCACATTTCTTGGTTCCTTGTTTTCTGTGTTTGTAACTACTGACACATAGATTGAATTTAGTTTTAACTAACAAGTCACCTTAGATAAGACATGCTAATCCATTTACAATAATACTTTTGATCTAAATAAATTCATTGAATACCTCTATCAATTTATTTTGTATCTTCATTGTACAGCTGACGTATAATTATTGTCAGTTACTGAACACGCATTTATATTTATAATTTCTGTAAATGTATATAAAAAAACAGGAAGGCTTAACTTTGTTTAGTTGACGAATTTTAATTAAATAAACGAATTGTAAGTATTTCAGCATGCAGGCCACTAAGTTCAGATGCAATATACTATAATGTACACTCTACGGTTTAATATAATACAATGGATCTACACTACCCGGATTGTTCATTTATACTAATACTAATATTAATAGTTATACAAGAAGATAGTATTTTTGTTGGACCATCTTTTAAATCTTCTGTTTAATTTCTATTCTGTGTTGCCTATAAATATTTCCACTCGTATAATACTATTACTCAAGAGTTTTTCAAAATGGCTCAGTGATTCCTGAGAAAATCGTTAACACAGTGTGTACATATAGCCTTATATAAACAAAGAATTTACTTATTTCAAAGCGAATAAAAACAAATTTTAAGTGATGTTATCAATAAGTGCGTTTAAACATTTTCTTTTGAACTTCAAGATTCATTTTTAGAAAAAGTTTTATTCAAATCGGTTTGCTGGTTCTCGATAAAATAATGTGGGACATATAAACTAAACACAGAACCTCTCTTTTTTTTTTTTGTAGGTGAAAAGTTGCAACGTTTCACTCTACAACTCCCATTCTAATGCATATCTGATGCTTATGGTTCTTAAAAAAATGCACATCTACCTAAGTATCTGATAAAAGATTAATTTTAAAAACACAATTTTGTATATTTCAGTAATTTTATAGCAAATTATAAATATTGCCTACGGGTACATATAAATTTGTTTGAGAAAGAGAGGAATTTTTTTGGGAAATCTTTTATTATTGTAACTCGCAAATAAATTAACTTAAAACTAGCATTATATTCGGTATCTTCGATTCTTACTCTTACAAGTGTGCGAAATAAAAAAATAAAAATACCGTATTTTCTCTAATAAACAATGCAGCACTAATACAATAAACATTACAACACATTGGTCTACGACAATAATGCTAGTCCGTACAATTCACAAAACTTAGTACAAGCAAATCAAGCTAGGCACACATCGTTGTTTGGACAATAGGGATTAGGCGTTTTTCTACTATACAGACTAGAGAGTGTAATTTAAACACAACCTTGTCCAGATGGCTGGACGAATACGTCGCGATGAAATGCCCGTCACTCCGGTGGACGTAGACGGTTGTGGATCATTTTGAATGTCTTGGTAGTCGTCCGCGTCGTCCCTGTATTCAGCACATCGCAACAACCGGTTGGTATTACATACATTTTACAGATATACAAAGTGATTCACTAACTTTGAACCAGCCAATATTTCATAAGATATTAGACTTATTGAAATCATCCATTTTTGTAATTGTATACTTAACGGTTCGCCCAAAATCAATTTATTTTTCAAAATTACATATATGTGTTACATTTAAGTTTAATTGAAAATATATCGAATTTGGATAACTTATAACTGTATAAGTATAAAGGAGAATAGTTTAAAAAGTCTAATATGTTTTAAGATATTGGCAGATTCATGGTTAGTGAATGTTAGTTGGACTGTGTCGAAAACAATTGTTTTTTTACCTACTCCTCTAATCAATAGTAGCCTATTGAAATAAAAAATCCTTTAGCTTTTATATCCCTAGGTTAACTTAAGTACTTCCTAGTGAATTTTTGTTTGCATTTTTGATTAACTATGAACAATTTAAATTTTCATTTAAAAAATTCTAATTTCAAAACTAATCAAAATTCTTACAATTTAAAAAAAACCTCTTTAAATATTTCACATGACATAACACGTTTTATCTCAACCAAAGTGGCAGTACAAATTAATGATCGGCAGGTTAAGAATTTTTTAGAACATCCTGATTACTTGATCCAGAAACCAATGGATTATGTTACGCCAAATGAAATTAAACAAGTTTTTGAAAATCTGGCCAACAAAAAACTCCGGGACGCGACTACATCACTAACCTATTGTTCAACAAATTACCTGCAAAAGGACTCGTCCTCATGACTTCCTTATTTATTTCTCTATAACGATTTGGACACTTCACACTCAAATGGAAAATAGCAATGGTAATACTCATAAAAAACCCTGAAAAGGATAAATCTAATTCCAGATAGCTATAAACCGATAAGTTTACTAATCTCCTTATCAAAAATATTTGAGAAAATTATATATGTGAGACTACAAAATTATTTTACTAGTGTAGATACTATTCCAAAATTCTAATTTGGGTTTAGATCAAACCACTCAATGGTGCAACAACTTCTTCGCATAATGGAGCATATTAGTACACCATTTGAAAAACACTGCCCTACTGGGGCACAGTCTTTGTTGACTACTCTAAGGCCTTCGATAAAGTATGGCACGAGGATATTTTGTATCAATACGCCGAAATACTTATTTAATGCCATTTATTCCTTCCTATCGAATAGACAATTCACTTTCAAAATAAACGATAATATCTATGACTTTCGGTTTATATCACCTAGAGTTCCACAAGGCTCTAAACTGGGTCCCATATTATTTAATATTTGTGTAGCTGACATTCTGCAGTCACCACGTACTAGTATTGTCCTCTTCGCTGACGAAACAGCGAATCCCGTAACATTGAAGAGATAACTGTCAACCTACAGAACCATCTCAATATATTACCAAACTGTTGCAAAAACTGGAAAATACAAATAAACCCTTCAAAAAGCACAGGAGTTATTTTTAGCCTACTTCGTTATTGTACACCGGTGCCAATACAATTTGATAATGAGCCCATACCTAACCTAACCTTCGGTCAAATATCTTAGGAGTCACATAGATAAAAGACTAACGTGGTGGCCACATATATCAAGCAAACTACAACAAGCATACCAGCGCCTTTCGTTGTTATTCCCTATACTAAAAAAAAAATCCGCAGTACATAAAAAATGTTCACTATTAATATACAAGCAAATCTTACGTCCACTACTCACCTACATTTGCCCTAATTGGGGTATTTGTGCACTTCAAAATGTTGATTAGTTTTCACGTTAGAGATATGAAAAATTACAATTATCCATGTTATTTGAATGCAAAAAAAGATTCATGAAGTAGTACTAAAGAGTAGAGCTGAGGATGTAAAATTTTAGGAATTTTTTTATTCGAATAGGCTACTATCGATTAATAGAGTAAGTCGTAGAACAAACAAAAAATTAAAAACAGTCTAATATTTTACATATGTATACAAATATTGCATAATTTATACTTATTTATATGTATTCTAAAACGCACTAAAATCGTATGAGCATACACTACATTAGTAGGAGCGCACAATATTGATAAATATTAAGTCTTGTTATTATTTTGGGAAAGAAAATGTTGTTAAGGTTACCGCGTTAGTGAACTGGCTGTGTAACGTATCAGTCGACAAATCGAAAGTAAAATAATGTCTTCCGGTTGTGAAGCGTAAAAGTGAAATATGTTGGGGAAAATAATAAAGGGGTTTTATAGTTTTAAAAAAAACTTTTAGAAATAAATGTTATTATAATTAGGCATACAATTTGTATAATACTGTCAATTACACAAAATATTTTTTGTATGGAAGATGTTTAACTTATTATTTATCTAGGTATACATTATGCACAGTATAAATTCCAACATGACATCTAAGTTCAAAATACAAAAACATTAAACAGTTTTCTATGTTTTTAAAATATACTCATATTAAGAATATAATATATTCGGTTGTATTTTGACTAAACACAAGTGGTTGCAATTTTAACACAGTGAACGTCGTTATAGACTACAACAGACTTACAATTAGTAACGAAATGGCTGTTAAAAGTCAGTAAAATTAATAGAAAAAGTATTCATCGTAAGTATTTCAAAAGAGGAAAATATAGTGTCATTCAACTTTTATAAGTTAATTCTGAGCTTATCACTAAACAATTCCACTTATCTCAATTAAAAAATATAAGATTTTATTTACTCTAGTGTTAATTGAATTCATTAGATTTCCTTAATTCGAGGTATAAGTAATCAATTGTAATTTAAAACTCAGACCAAAAAAAAAAGTATTTTAACGTATATTAAGATAATTGAAATTTGTTTGTTATTTGTTTTAGGTTTTTTTAGGAGATTTCATAACAAAGTTTTAAAAAAAATGTATTAGTGAAACTTTGAAGACCATACTACTACTATTAACATAAATAGACTATTATATTATTATACGCATACAGAGAATTAACGCTATTTGTATTTTATTTTAATACATTGCATTATAACATAGAAGTGAGTAAGTACAAATATTATATATAGGTATTTGAATAAAATATTAAATAAAAATGAATTTACATGTGTACAGATATGTTTACTGGAATTTAAAAGTAATATCCTAAATAACACATGACAGTTTATACAATATCACATTAATCAAAGTTTAATACTAGTTATTATTTTGCTGCTTTGATCATGTGATATTGCTAAAATTATGTCGAAAGAATAGTTATGTATATGATTAGTTATGTGTATGTGCAGCAAAAATCAACTAGCATAGCAAACGTGCCTCGCTTAAGTTTTAGATTTGCGAGATTTTTTCATGAGTGTGGTATCAGAAATGTGCATAGAAAATTGGCAATAACAAAAAACATAAAATATATTATAGAAATAAACATGTATATCAATTACTATATTTATTAAACGACATTTGGTTATAATTTTATATAACTATTATTAAAAAAATGTATACTTTTAAATTTATGATTGCAGTAGAAATGAGAAATTAAGTAAAAGTATTGTAATGTAAAACTAGTCACTATAGTGATTACATTAATTGTCTGTATTATAATAATTGAACTTTGTTTATCAAATAATACACAGAATTAAGAATTTTGTTAACGTGTATTCAATATTATGTTCTTTTGTCATAATATAATAATAAAGGCTAAAAAAAAATGTTATGTTTTTCTAATATAAAGATTATTTGTCGTAATTAGAACTATGGGTTGGCAAGTTATATGTTCAAGCTGTAATACACACATACATAATAATATCTATGCAACAAATTACAATAAACGAAACTCGTGTACACATATATATATATATATATATATAATATTAAAACTATGTACAGATATAAATGGTTTAATGCGTCAACGTGCGACTTTGATGCGAATTTTCTATAACTCTTATAATTGTACTTTATTAGTAAGTTTCTTATTAAGTTTACTTGCTTTATTAATTGTTATCGTAATGGGATAAATTTGTTTTCATGCAGTTTATTAGCTATTGGCGATCTTTTGTGCAAATAACAAAACTACATACCGTTTTGACAATAACATTAATCTATCGTCAAATCGATTCGTTTAAAAAGAAGATAATATTGTCATCCCAAAATATTTTTAGTTTGTAATTACGCGAAACAAACCTAAAGAGTACTTGTTTTGCAAAATTAAAACAATTAGTCGAAAAAAAATATGTTTTCACTTAATTTTTTGTTTAGGTATTTCACTCATTTTTTGACGACGAAAATAAAACCTAACCTTGTCAATTGCAAGCAATATCAAGAACGATATCGAATAAAAAAAATGTCTATAAACTAAATACTAAACATACTTAAACTAAATGCATAAACTGCACTTATTTATTGCACTACTTACTTTGTGTCATCATCGCCGAACGTGGCTTCCAAAACTTTGGCTGCGAAAAACAAATTTTTGTGCAACACTTCAGCCGGCACTTGTCCTTTTCTCAAACGGCCCATTAGGCAACGCAATCTACGACATAAAACACATGTGATTAGACAGTAGACGATTAGTGAGCTGATGTTGTGCATAGGCGTACACAAACAGAATAGATTAACACAGTAGCTAGGATATTACAAGTCATTTATATAGTGGCCAAAATTATGATCACTGGCATTAGGTTAAGCCGTGTTGGTTATAAGAAATGGTTTGCTGGTGTTAATTTAGAGCTTAGCCCTAAAGACTATCAGACGAGTTGGATATGTGGATTAGGTGTTCCTTTAGCTGTACAACTTAAATGAGGAATTTTCTAACGTACCTCTCAACCTCATTAGCGTACATCGGCTAGGTTAGGTTGCTCAGGTGGGAGAGGAGGGTTGCAGGTGATAGGAATTTAGGGGTATTTTCGTCTCGAGGATTGCAACCTATTTATATGATTATTTCCGACACCGGAGTAGAGTCGTTGTGTGCATTCACCCTTAAAACGAAATGGTCTGTTGTAATCACTGTACTGCTGGTGTAACAAGACCAGTCGTTGATCAGTTCAGTGTACCAATCGGTTTTTATAGCCCTTAGGGATATCCGATAGCAATAGATTTCCTGAAAAATACAGTAGCGATGTCGTTTTAACGATTACAGTTTTAAAAACGCCACGAACCACGTATTATCCTTAAAGGAGTGAAAACATTAAGTTTTTTTTTAAATATATATTTTATTCATTTATGTAATAATTATTTAAACCCTTTAAAAACTATTTTCTGTCACAGAGACGGCCAACGAGAGCATAGAATTCAAAAATTATATTTAGATTTGCATGGTTTATAATTATTTCATAGTATTTATATTTTATGTAAACTGATTAACGTTAAAAAGCCAAATCAGTAGAGATATTAAAATAATGGAATTTAAAATTATATAAAACACACATTTAAAAAAAAAGCAAAGGACCAAAAAAAGTATATTATATAAAAATGTAAACTTTGTAAAAAAAGTTGATTAAATTTAATATAATTACATGCCAGTACTTTCATAATATGTAATGTTATGAAATTTAAATGCTAATGTAAAATGGTAATAGCTTCGAAACGCAGCCTATAAATCTACAAGTGTTTTTAAATTTCAAAGTACATTTTTCAATAATCGCAACATGTGAAAAAAAAATTTAAGTCCACGTTTTGTACTACCTATTGATTTTACTTTGGACATTTATGAACTATTTTCATTATTACAATCCAAAATGGATTAAGTACAATCACTAAAATTATAAATTGTAGAAATTTACATTTCAATAATATTACAAACACGAAAATTACTATAAGTAAGTGATAGTCATACGAAAAACACTAAGCACTTGATAAATAGTTTTGTACTTATATTTACCAAGTAAAAATACTAATTGTTTTTTATTATTTACAAAAATCAATATAATACACGTTTTTAAAAAGGAAATGATAATGTATAACGAGGGGAAAAAAGTAATTCCAAACTTTTAAAGTGAATGTTTTTTCTCAAAAACGACGACTTTGGCCTTAATATATTTTGCATGAACGTGGTCGAGATGTAAGTTTTGATGAACTCTGTATGCATAAACTTATTTTGGTTTAACATATTTTATAATGGAAAAACAAATTAGTGTATTTTTTTGTTAGTAAGTAGTATTTCTTTTTGAAAAAAATATTATTTATATTATTGTAAAAAGTTATAAAGTTATCAAATATTTACTTTTTTTTAGTATTTTCTAGAGCTCTATCAACTATTTAAAACTTTTAAAAGTAAATAAAATATTTACATTCCAATTTAAGTTTCAAAAGTTGATAGAAAACTCTTAGAATTTAACAAAACATATAAACATTTGAGTACTGTTTAATATTCTTAAATGTCTCCAAAAAGAAAATCTGCAAAATTGTACTATAAAACAATAAACTGTTATACAACTTTGTTGTGTCGAAAATGTACTGCATCGGTTAGTATGGAATTACAAATACATAAGACAGCTTGAAGTACAAATGTCTATTATCATACAAATGTCGAAAACACTAGTCGTCTGCAGATGGTTATAAATGGAACGCACAATATAAGTATATAAATATCATTTTTTTTTCCAAAAACTAAATCATAACCGATGACGTTTGAATACGGCTCAGGCTGTTATCATGTGATTCGACATATATTTGATTGAAAATACCTTGTTGATTTGGAAACATACGGAATTCGCGCATCAGGAGATGACGTTAAATTTTGACATGTTCAACATAATGAAATCCCGGATTCGTTAGAAATTCAGGCAAGCGAGGTTTTGCAGTAACAGAAATGCGATGCAAAATTTATTCAGTTTATCACACAGTTTTCCCGGAATTTGCGAAAATGATGAATATTTTGAATAAATATTTGTACGATATGGTACATATTTATGGCGCAATCGCTCGTATTTTCAAATTTGAAGTAAAAGAAATCACACAAGATAGTCTGTATTTATATAGTATTATGCTATTTCATAATTTCGTCCAAGGTTTTGAACACAAAAAAAAAAGTTATATTTTTATAAGAATAAGAAGAAAAATATGTATTTTTGTTTTTTTTTTAGTATCTATTATGTTTTATCCGAATTCTAATAAATACACCTATGATAGGGGAATTTATTTATCTTATTCATTATTTAAACATAACAAACAACATTTTACAGTTGGCTCTCTTCGGTACAGGGGGAAAAATTCAGAAAAAAATATATATTTTAGTACGACTGGTGTAGACGATTTATTCAATGTTGAGTCAAGTTGCTTGTTCTGTATGCCGAAAACATTGTTTGTAAATTTCGCTAAACACTTTGAATAAGTACCTTAAAGCCGCTTTGTCGATAGCATCTGTAGTGTCAACCGACGGCAAACTGTCAGTGCTCAAATCCACGTCGTCTAACATATTTTCAGCTTCATTGGACAAAGCAAAATCGTAGTCCTCAAGATAGTTGTTTTTCTTATGACTGCTGCGGCGAACAATGGTCAAAGCTCCTGGATCTACAAAAAAACAAAAACTCAGAAAATTAGAATTGGATAACGTTATTACTGATAAAATTGTATGTACAAATTATGTGTAAATTGCATATTTTAATTTTTAACGTCTACCCTTCCTATGTAAGTTAAGCTTATTGGAGACAAACGATCTACGTCTGTTTCGAATTGTGAAAAAAATAGAACCCGATGGATGTAGTACCATGCTCGGTGACTTATTCAATTTTAAAATAGAAATACTAAATAGAGTATTTAACAAATAGTCGATATATTAATGTTTAAGCTTCGGTGCGAAGCTAAGAAGGTATTATATTTACAACAATGTGTGTTATTATTGTGTCTGTAAACACGGTAACTTTTTGATTTTGGAGTCGAAAAAGTCAACTTCTTCACCTCCGAACAATTAAATCACTTTCAAATTTAATACCTCAATTAAACCACTATGCTAATTTATAAGTATAGTTTATACTGTATTAGTTTGGACTGCACTGGCTTTTTTACATTATTAATTATTAAAAGCGGTTAATGATTTACTATGTATTACTATTTTAGTAACCCTTAAATATTCTAAGGGGAATGTTTGGTTAGGATTATAATAATACATAAATATATTATATATATATAGGGTGTACTGTAAAGTTCTACCAAGCTCAGTAGAATATTATTGTACCCATAGAGCATCCTTAATGTCTCATTTGAAGCTCGGTAGAACTTTAAATTACACCCTGTATATATATTATTAAGAAAGACTGTAATGTGTTATTGTTTGAGATCTAATATTGAAAAATTGATAGTTTGATTATTTTTTTAAAATTAAAATTACAGTAGGCTCCGATTTTAAGATACTTCGGTTGCCATAGTGATCTTTATGTCAATGACACGAAAACGTGACACCTTATAAAACGTGATACGAATTTTCCACGCAAATTTCGGTATGACCCCCAGCCCTAAAACGTATCCATGTTAATATACTTTTATATTTGGTACAAAATACTGTACAAAAAAAAAAAAAAATGTAAAAAATACTATAATAAATGAAACATTTTACCTTATTTTAACACAGATGTGGCCATATACTCATTATTTATTTTTTTTTTTTGGTTACTGTGTGTATTTTGGTAAATGTGTGTGTAGAAAATATGTTATTTAATTTTTATACAATTTTAACATTGACTTATTCAAGCTGCAGTTAAAAAGTGCTGACTATGTTTTGTAGGTACAAAATAATAAGCGACAACAAGAGTTTTATAAGTGTATTAAGTTGTGTTTAAAAATGAAATACATTACTTTTTGGATGAAAACAATACTGTTAAACATTGCTAATTGTATGTACGAATAGGGCGATCTGATAAATTGGTGTACTAATGTACAAAAAGGTACGAAGAAGTATATATTATAACGAATTTGATGTAGTGATTTATAACAATGATACATACACTATAATTTAAAAAAATATGTTTTGACAATGAAATAATGGATACCCTGACTACAAGTTTTGGAGGTTTGAACAATAGTAACAAAATTGTTGAGCTGATGTTTACTATGATGAAATCGGTTAAAAATCCAATAATATCGCTGTATAATATTAGTTCGCTACAATCTGTTCATAATATATCTTATTCAAATGTTAAATACAATAATTTTTTTTTTTTTTTATTAAATAAAGTCCGCGACAGCTGTGGCCATTGGACTGACATTATTTTACATTATTAAATAACAATCTTATGCATTATACAATAAGTAATTTTATGAAAGAAACAGTTATATTTTTAAATTTTGTTGATTAGATTGGAATTGTGTATGAATTCTATGATGCTTTTGACATTGCGTGGGTCAGGGTTCAGTGACTCGGAGAGCTGGTCTGGCAGGTCTGCGTTTTTTCTGTCCTTGTCGTAGCTCCGACATTCTGTGAGGATGTGTTTGACGGTTAGGGGGGTGCCACAGCAGGTGCATACGGGGGGTTCTTCTCTCTTCATGAGGTGTCGGTGTGCGATATGTGTATGACCAATCCTGAGGCGAGTAATGGAAGTCTCCTGTTTTCTCGTGGTGTTCTCAGGGAAAGGCCAAGGGAAGGTAGTTAGTTTAATCTCGTGTAGTTTTGATGTTAATTTAACCCATTTGTTTTCCCATTGGTCCTGTATGTTTTTGGTTATGACTTTTTCTACGTCTTGGTATGAGAAGTCCAGGGCTGAAAGGGAATCATTGGATGAATGGGCCAGTTTCGCGGCCATGTCAGCGCGCTCGTTGCCTGTTATGTTGCAGTGTCCTGGTATCCACATGTAGGATATGTGTTTACCAGCAAGAGTGGCCCTAATATGTGCGTATTGTTTTTTTCTTGCGATGTCGGTGGGTTTCCATTGGTCCTGGATGCTGATAAGGCTAGAGAGGGAGTCACTAAGAATTATGGCCTGGTTAACCTCTATGTTGTTTATAGCAAACTCAATTGCTTTGAGGATAGCCAGGGCTTCTGCAGTGTAGATGGAGCATTTGTTGGATAATGTCCATTGGATTTGTGTGTTTCCGTGGACAATAGCCATCCCAGCGTGGTTTTCTGTGACGGAGGCATCCGTATAAATAAGTGAATGCTGAGGTGTAGAGGACAAAATTTCCTAAATACAAAAATGTTATGGGTCTGTTGGATATTATTAATCGATTTAAAATCACAAAATAAACCACAATACAACACAATATGTAGACTCATTTAAAGTTCATTTGAAGAATTTCGCGGTTTTCTTTAAATTAAGCAATAAGGACGATTTTAGGAAACTAATAAATCAATTAAATAACTGGGAAAAAACACCGTGATTGTTTGATAATCCAATGTCTACGATTACTTTTTTTTTAAAGAAATTTGTTAAGGCTATAGGAAAAATGAGCAACTTCCAATTGAAAAAAATGATTTTTAATTTTCCGAGCTAAAGGAATATAAAAACAACCCCGAATATGGGATTGAACCTAATAAAACCATAACACATAAGGAAATGATCGAAAACAAAATTCAGGATACTCATGACTGTGCTAAAAGGTTGGTCGACTATTCAAGACGAATTTTAAAAGGTGTACAATTTAATTTACATTTCCTAAAGAATTGTCATGTTCCCGCAATACTCGTATGAGCAGACTCAATTCTTTCAATAATAATGTAATAATAATTCGGTTATCTTATTTTATTTTTGCAATATATATAATTTTATTAACACTTTAAATCAAGAATAATTTTTTTAAAATTAATATTTAAAGTATCTTTATAAAACATTTATATATTTCTTATAAATAACATATATTACACGTAAAAAGGGTGCGGCAAAGACAATCGAGTATTTAAGAGATTAATTATCATTAACCAAATTTCGTGTTCAGCTGCTGAATAGTTAAGCGCATGGGTTGCTCAAAACTATTCGCAACGCTTAACTATTGTGTCATGAATAGTACAAGTTTTACAGTACATAAAATATATCACGCTGTAAGCCTTCTTGAAAATTTCCACTTAAGTGGTTACAGCGGGAATATGGTTTGGAATATTATACATTATTAATTCCTCTCTCATTTAGGACCGATATAACTAAGAACTGTCAACTGTACTTAATTATATTTTACCTACTCATCACCTGCGGTACATATATATTTGATTAGGTGAAATCTGAAAATGAAAATTCACCAAATAGTCAAATTCCGAGTAAATGTGCTCTGTTTTTCGCATGGAACGTAGCTATTAATAATACATCAGTTAAATACAATTTTTAACTAGGTATCTGAGACTTTCTTTTGTAAGTTTAATTAAATTTATTGAGATTCTATTAAAGGCAATTTTCACGTCATCTGGATACTTAAGACCGAGTAAAAAAAATCAGTTAACTGACTAATGAATCGTAACAGATTAGTTTTCATTCAAGTTTTATTTTACAGCCGTAACTCTTTGTTATCGAAAACCTATAATTGTACGCTTAACGAGGAGGTTAATATTACATTATAATACTATAGAAATATACATGCTAACATCGTGATTTTGTAGTTTTGGGTGTCTTATGAAAAACGGTATACCAATAAAGGCTTAGCCGTGATTCTCCGTAAACAAATTTTAAGTTTACATGATTTTAGTTTGTGTACCCATAAACACGTTTGCTTGCATTCAACATCAAGTTGAGCTGAGATTGTCGACCTTTTTAAACGAACACCCTCTTAATGCACGAGCACGTCTTATCATATTACAAAGCGGGTAGACCACCCGCCCGTTCCCACGGATGGGGAACTGATCGCATCCAGTCACTTTAGTGTTTAGCAGACATTGGCGTCAGACAGGATAATTTCAAAGAATCTGGTATGTAAATTTGTTAAAATTAAATAAATTATAGCAAACTTAGAGTATGGTTGTACTACGTTTCTCAATATACTATATTTAAAATTATGCTTCTAAATTACAGTATTTATGATAAATGATTTCTCAGCCGTCTAACGCGTTCCTTAAAATTATATTACTGTTTAATTTTAAATACATAATGCACAATCGCCAAACATTATAAAAATATTTGTGTATTTATTCAATAAAACTTCAAAAGTTATATATTGTAATTTTTACATTTCACTTTTTTACTTAACACATTTGGTCTACCTATCTAACGAACAAATGATCAATATTCATTGTATTGATAGGAATAATTACTTTTTAAAATGATTATAATATATTGAAGTTTAGACAGGATTAACAAATAGTTTTTTCTTTGTGTGAGATCAGATAAAATATGTATGGGAACATTGAACAGTATTTGTGTCAATAGTTTAATCCCACATTGAACCTATTAACCAAAATGTGTACTCACGTGCTGAAGTCAAGGCTTGAGCTCGCCGATCATCGTCATTATTATCTGGATCTTGTGCACCCTTGCTCTCAATCAACTCTTCCATTTCCCCGCATTCAATTACACCGTCGACCGGATTTTCATTTGCTGCTAAAAAATAACAACATCTTAATATTAGTATGCTATGCATACAGGCCGTTCTCGATACCACAAGCATATATTACATTCAGAATTTCCTTTCAACAGAATTTTGTCCTGTTTGTTATTACTAAACTACTTAAATCAATTTGAGAGTTTTTTTGTTCTACTAACACCAGACCTAAAAAAAGAGTCTGTTTATTATATTCAACGTACAATAAAAAATTTAAAAAGCCAGTACAGTGGAATCGAGACATAGTGGGAAAGGATCTTATTAAGGTGGGGGAGATCACTGGAGGTGTACAGGAATTGTTATAACTGAAAGTGATGAAATCATATTTAAATAAACGCTTTGATGCGCATATGTAGACAGAAAACTCGATAAAAGTATATTTGGGGCTATAATGTGCTTAAAATTATATTTCGAGTTATTGGTCATTCCAAATTCTACACTAAATTCTGAATATTTTGAAACCTAAATTGTTAACCTACCTTGAAAATTGGCCAAGTTATATTTGTTTGAATTTATTTTCAGAAAATGTGTTTTTTGAGAAAAAACGCTTTAATATTTTTAAATGTTGCCAACTTATTATTTTACATATTTAATGAATGAAACTTAACCAAAAATTTAAACAAATTGTAAATAACATTTTTCTTAATATTATTTTAATTTGTGACAAGATGTCTCTTTACCCTTTCCGCCTCAAATTTATTTTCAATCGTGCTTAACAATACATAATCTAATACAAATATGTTCAGACATATGTTGACTGTTACACATAGAAACCTAGAAATTTAATAAAGTCAAAAGTGTAATTTCCTAATTTTTTTCTTAAAAATAAAAAAGTTTCACTACAGATTTTTAAGAATGTATAAATTATAATCCCACTCTAGATCTTTAGTCTAATTTACAGATCTTAGGTATTAAAACTTTACTCGAAAAATAAAATATATTCGAAACTGAAGAAAAGAAAATTACTGTTTAAACGATACTTTATTAATTGTTATGGACATTATTTTTTGACTCATTGTGACTGAAAATATTTTCTGTTGCCACCTTTTCTGACACCATAGTTCAAAATTGCAACCACTCAAACATTTTTAAATAAAAGTTATGCATTACATAATTTTTGTCATTGAAAAATGATTATAGTTCATTAATCTAATATAATTTATATAATATATTGTTTACCATTAGAGAGCATTTATTTCACTTTAGTACCGCATGTGTGTATAAATGTAATTTTAAATCATTGTACCAAAAAAAAATATATATATATTTTTGAGTTTTTTCAGTATTAAACTGGGTCGTCGATATTTTACATTTGTATGCATTAAACGAGCTTCGACCATTCTCTTAAAGCGAAGAGGCAAAAATAAAAAAGAAGGATTTCTTCAACGGCTAAGAAAGACTGGAAGAGCGGATTAATGGTCGACACGTCAGTGTGATAAATAGTATTAGGATGAAAACAGGTAATTTGTGTCCATGTTTTATACTACCACTAATTCTCCACACCTTCTTTTACACTTATTAAGTCAAACATTATTATGCGTTTTTGTATTATTTAACATGTATATGGTTTCTGTTATTAGCAAGAAATATAATAATACATATGTAATTATTGTACAAATAACACACTGTCACAACTTTAATTGAAGTTTCAAATTATAAAATGTAAAGTGTTTATGACAATGATGTTGTATGTTAGTTTACAATATTATGTTGGTATGCTTTAAAATACAAATTATTTCAATTCATTTTGACGAATGCTTAAAAAAAGTATAATTCAAAATGTTCTATTTATAGCATTATATATAAATTATAGTGTAGATGGGCAACGCTTATGTATGGATATATTAGATTGCAAAATAGTTAACATAGTAAAATCGAGAAGTGCGGGTCAAAATACATAATATTGTTGTGGTTGTTACATTAGTGTATCTTTCTATAGTATAGTATAATATCATCTACCTATGACTAAATTTAATACAAATTCACTGAACTGCATACTTAATATATGAATTAAAATCTAACGATCTATTATAATAACTTAAAACCTTTCCCGTTACAACATATTAATTTAATGTTTTATTATTTCCATTATTACTATTATCTTAACATTGTTCTAATCGTTGAAGCAGTTTTTTAGTTACAAAGTTTCAAATAAAATAAAAATAATTATAAACAAGTTTATTGATTTCTTGGCTTACTATAAAAATGTATTTTATAATAACCATTCAAATAAAAAAAAAATAAATAAATAAATATTCCTTCAAAAAAACTACACAAATTTTAATCTTTCTTATATTATTGTCAGATTTGTCATTGCAAGAAAAAATTATTCATTTCTTAGAATAGTGAGAACAACAGATTTTTTTTGTCGACATTTTAATTAAATAAATCATTTAAATAACGGCCAAATTAAAATTTGTTTTGTAAACAATAAATTTAGGCTACATGGAAAACGTTAAAACGAATTTACCGTTTTATTTTTAGAACTGTTTAAATGATGGCATCTATGATGGTACTCTTAAATAGTCTTTATTATGTTCATACGTTGACGCTTAAAAACGAAACAAAAATCGATCCAGTGCTCTAGGAGGAGAAAAACAAACATATACACTTCCATAAGCATATATTATTATATAATTGTTTGTTGTATAAATGTATACAATTTAAAAACACTTTTAGAGCTATCGTGTGCATACATAAAATCAACTTAAATTATCTCGTGTATAATTTAAAATGTTTATAGTATTATAAACATATTTAAACTAACAAAAGTGAAATGTAGTGAAGTGGTTTCCATCGTTGTTCTACTTAAATGATGTTGACATTAATATGATTCTTTTATCGTGATCTAGCTTAAAATTCAAGTAATTACTTATAAATCCCTAAACAAAACACCGAAAGGGAACATTGCATGCATTTCGGTAATACACTGTTGTAACACTAATGTAACTTTCAGGTACGATTTCTGATCTGTACATGATGGTATCGGTTCAGCTGTTTAAAAGATATCGTGGGTCTAGACACAAAAAACAATTGAAAACTAAAACACACCATTGTAAAAACAATACCTTCCCAGCTACGCATCGAAGGTAAAATTATCGGAGGGATTCGGATAATCGGACCCATTGTATACCTTAGTAGTAAATTTGATTTTATTAAATTATATATTTTAATAGTTCTTAGTAATACTCAGTTGACAAATAGTATTTTATCATATTTATTTACACATAAACTATATAAAACGAATACTGGTCAAATAAAAACAACAATTATTATCTCCCATAGTAAGAAATAAGTTGGAACTTGATAAGACATACGTGTATGTTCTTTGTAAACAAAAAAATGTAGATATAATATCCGTATTTAGACGCAACGGTTGTTCGTTATACTACAAGTGCATGTTAAAGATAGCTTGCAAATAACTGGGCTCGATGCGTTTAATACGTCTGTACACATTTCTAACAGTACATTATGGTATTAAGACCAAAAAAAAAAAGACACTGAATGATATTAGTACAATTGTATTGAGGAATGAGATTACACATTTAATTATAATTAATTATTATATATATTTTGTTAAGTGCGATCTTATAGTATTAACAATATTTTCAGATTACACAAACTTCTTGACATGCAAATTTTTTTGGCTTGTAAAAAAATGGTATATGTTGAGACACATTAAAAATGTAATAAATAAAAAAAAAAATCAATATTTTTCTGTTTTATGTATTACCATGTTATTTAAATCATAATATTAATTTTTTACGTTAGTTTTCGAACTGGCAGTTACAAAATAAATACAGGTGGCGAGTTTGATCACATCGAATCTCGGCTAATCATATTTAAAATAGTTCTGCTTTGAAACATTGTGTGCGGTGGTTCGCTTATACATTGGTTTGCTCGTTAGTTTCACAACAATAAACGGTTACCGACTACAACATGATGCGGTGCTAATATGATTTTATAGTAGTTCGCCCGAACGAAACGAATATTTACACCGCTTAGACGTGATATACTATAACGTTACACTATAACTCATCATCTAAGCATCTAAGCCGCCTGTTCCTAACCTGGACTTTGTTCTGTTTAGGGGACATGGAATTCGCGTCGTGCACATTTTAGACAATTCATCATTTTCAGCATAATATCCCACTGTAGTGTGTATGTGTGTTTACACGGACGAGTAGGCGAGCCGGAAAAAGGTGGTAGCTAGTCGACGCAGTGACGTTTATAAGAAAACTTCGGTTTGCTCGGATTAAATACATACAGATATATATAATATTATATACACACACATTTAGTGTACGTTTATTATTAAGAGCCTTATGGCAAGATATATTATCTCTAGACGTCTGCCCGTAAGTCTAGCTAAGACCAATATAGGTCGATTTAACGCCTACGCGTCACTCTGCTTCTGTACAGTTCGTATTTTTTCAACATTTTTAGCGAGACTTTACGTCTAAACCGGGCATTGCAGTTTTCACTTGTCAAGCCACCGGGCATCTTGTGAGTATAGTAGAGGGTAGAGTGTATTCATACATAGCCACTGTCAGACGTGTCGCCGGACACGGAATTTTGCGGTTAGTTTCGAAATGAAAAACGTGTAAATCACTCGAGCGATTGAGTCCATTCCACGAAACAACGTTCTAACTTTTACCTATATGCGGGTAAATTACCTATAATGACATAAATCTAGCATTCCGTTTTAGAAAAAATGTAAATAACATATGGTATAAACTATAGCCAGTTATGGTTCTTCATAGTCGGTATACTTGATGAAATGACAATTTCACTGTTTGAGACTGTTCTGAGTGCGGTGATATAATTAAGTATCTACTCTGGCGCTCTGTATTAATGTTGTAGTTCACCACTAAGCTCCCGTGTCATTGCTCGGGTTTATTCCTAGACTTGCAACTAACGTTCAAGTTTAGCATAGGTCACTCTAGTTTTTAATCAAAGGCTTCTAGCCTCTAGTTTATCGTAATATATAATGTTT